TACAAACAAATCTCCATTCTAAAATGAAGCCTTCCTCATTTAGCACTATGRTGATTAAGTCTAATATTCACTGTTACTGACAAAACAGTTTTAAGATCTGACTAGTGATAAGTGCAAAGGAAAGTATTTCTGTATGAGAAATGGCAGGAAGATGGAATTAAGATAAAAGGCATAATTCTTAAGAGGAATCAAATCCTTCATGGTTAAAGTAGACCTATTTTTTACATTCATTTGCATATAAATGTTTTGTGTTAGTGGTAAATGATAAGCAATTTCATGCTGTTAGGGAACACCAATGTTTTCTCTGCCAAATAATAATGCTATTTTATCTGCTGAAATCTTCAAGCTTTACACATTCAAATACAGTATACAATAAATTGCTGTGCAGCCATAGCAGATTTAACTAACATGAAACTAGTACTGAAACCATTATGCTCTATAAAGCAAAATCTGTTTTATTTTTTAACCAAACTCTACTCTACACAAATGAAGATTCCCTGAAGAATTATTCTGCAAATTCACAGGGACTTTATTATAAAGTTCTTTGTTAATGAAAAACTTCAAAGCATCCAAAAATTATTTGTGAAGCTTTTCAAATATTCTCGTAACAGCATACCTCCTATCTTAAGACCTCTGTAAAAAAATTTTCAAAATCAAATTAAACCAATTTAATCTTCCTGCAAACAAAATGAACATGATATTTAGAAGAAGTAAAGCAAACAAAAAGAAATATCTCCATCCAGCATCTTGTTTATCAAGGCACTGTGATAAACTAGGTAATTTTCTTAAAGACTTTTGTATTCTACAGGCAGTGTGTAGAGTTTTCTGGGAAAAACATGATACCAAGCAGACAAAATTTACAGTCTGTGGACACTCAGCCAAATATGGTGATACCAAATTTTGGTAAATGAAACTCCATCTCCTCACAAACAGATGATGGAAAAATAATTATATGCATTATTTTGCTTTCTTCAGGCCAGTTATGTATAGCAGGATCTACAAGACCTTCAGATGCACTCCAAACCTGATGATTGATATAGTGATTTGATGATATTATCTAAGTAATTTGTTCTTTATATGCATTTCTCTTTCRTAAGCATCACCTCCACCTTTTCTCAATTTATTTCCTGTTGGCCTYGTTCATTTGCATTCAGTTTTTAAAGGAACCATCAAAGAAACAGGGCTCATCACATTTTGTGATGAAGGTGTGCTACACTATTGCTTGTTTAATGATGAAATGTAAAGCAATCTTAGACTAGCTTCACCCTCACACAYATACTGAAAAGGATCATGTTGAGATCCACCCAAAAATGGTGATTGCTAGAACTRATGAACAGCTAGCTGTATTTTTATTACCTGGGAAATAAAGGAGAAATATGGCACCCAGAGATACAATTTCTCCTGTATCTCTAGACATGTAGCTCCTTATTTTACCATTTTCTACCAGTTTTGAGATGTCAATTATGACATGTAGATTCTTATTTTACCATTTTCAACCAGTTTTGAGATGTCAATTATGACATGTAGCTCCTTATTTTACCATTTTCGACCAGTTTTGAGATGTCAATTATTTGGGGTGATTTTTTAGTATGAATAAAAATGGCCATCCACAGCAAGCAAAAATCTACCCATTGACACCACCAGGGTGATTGCATGTCCCAAGAAAAAGAAAAATAAAAAACTTGTCTTGCTGGAAATAAAGTAACTCTGCCAGMAACTCTGAAGGATCATGGTGGTTTCTCAAGGTTTCTCACCTTGAAAATCATGAAACAAACTCTTAACAGCAACAAAATACCATCACAGACCCCACTACTCCTTTCTTTGAAGCACAGAGAACATTTCATTCATCTTGCCCTTTYTGACATATGGATTTTATAAAACAAAAAGCTGTKCTGAGGCATGATAATCTATTGAACWTACTCCCACCYTCACAGTMTGAAGGAGAGAGGGAAAAGAGAGGAAGAGTTAGTGAGATTGCTCTCCCAGAGCACGTTCAGCCTCAGTGATGGGATGCAGGATGTACATCCCCACCATTATTAGCAAGAGTGACCTGTAACAGCAGCAGCAGCTGGGCAAAAACTTTATTCTTCATTCTCTGAAGCACCACAGGAAAAGAAAAGCTGTGAATCTCACCCCCTGAATGCCTGCAGTGCTGTCAAGAGCACAGTATGGCAGACTGGCAGCCAAGAGAGACTCTGCTAAAGATGGATATTACAGGCCAACATTTGTCCCCTGATCAGCTCACAAACACTGGAATATCCATTTGTTACAAGTGCTTATGACAGGAGGAGAATGATGTGAGAGACCATAGCCAGCCACCCACCCACCTTCTGTCAAAAACCCATAAAGAACATCCTTTAAATAGTTGTTATCAATCATAACTGGCTCCCAGCTATTACAGTTTGTTCAGCACAGTTCCATAGCCCCCACTTTGGGGTCYCTTGCTCTCTCCATAGCAGCCAGAAAATGCTTGTTCAGGATCTCCACATTTCCCAGGAAGAAAATGCAGCCCTGTGAACTACAACATGCAACACAAGCAGCTGGTTTGCCATTTGCCATATCCACAGCTGCCAGGGCAGAAACTGAAAGCAGAGTTTTATCCCAAAAAAATACTGGGGGAAAGGGGCAGGAATAAAACACATCAGCAATCAACATTGCAAAAGATTTCCCAAGTGACAGCAACTCTGTGTTGGAAAACTCTCCCTTTTAGAGTAGGAACAGTGAGAGGGGTTCTATCCCCTCAGCTGCCCTCAATGCAAGAAAATGTTTAGGTGATCACTCACTAAATCAGAATGAAAGGGGGGGAGGCAGAAGAAACAATCCTTTCAATTTTTAATAATTTTAAATCAAGCAGGGGTTAAGCTTGCAAGGCATAGTGAACTTTACTATTCAAAGCCCATCATGCCACACATCAATCCCAGCCTCCAAACAAACATTTGGTTCATATATTTGTAGCTCATGCTAAGCTCTATCATGAAGACTCTTTCAGACTCCAGTGAAACAGAAAATCAGATGTTTTAAAAAACCAACTTGCATAGTGACTATTTGAATTAGCAGTTATCCAACATTGGAGAGTCACAAGCTTAATGTKCTCCTAAACAATACAGCTAATATTAGAGTCAAATCAGAAGAAAAGGCAAGCCCTATCCAGGATAGATACTGATGCAATAAAATAAAAGAAAAGCCTGTAAGTATGGGACCAGCACAGCCAAAAGAATTGCCTCTGAATTAAATTTTCTAAGAGGTTTATCTGATTGGTGAACAATAAATTCAAATTAAGTCCACTAAAATCAATATAACAGTAACATTCTGTATCCCCAAGGAGCCATCAGGAACCAATTGTGAGACGGCAAAAACCTCATCTTAAATTAGAAGCCCTGATCTGAACTCATGCCATTGTGTTTTAGCMATTTTAAGATAAACTCAGAAAAGCAGACATTGTATGGGCAACAAGGACCAGGAAGACAGAGATTTGCTGCATACATTAAGGATGCAGTGTTAGCCTTTGCTACAAATTCTTTATTTTAAATTCAGTTCCATACACTTTTGCCTAAGATAAGGGAGCTACAAAGACAAGTTGTGTTTGTTTGTCTGAAGATAGTATCTGTAATTACATACCAAAGAGAAGAGAAATTTCAGCTAATAAACAAGGAGATTTTTTTGTAAAAGCATTTATTTTTCAGAGCCACAATCTATTTCTCTGTSTGACTGGGAAACACAATCATTGGTATTCACCCTAACTTAGAATTCATCTTTCTCAGATAACTAAAGTATTTACTTTCATGTTTTCTTTTGCACTGTCTGATAAGAAAAGCATTTTGTGAATAACTCTCTTTATGTTCCCTTCTATACCAGCAACATTTTAAGATTGCAACTTCCTTATTTAAGAAATAAATCGATGAGTTAACTCACTGCACTGAGTCACACTGCAGTGTTATTAGAAACAGTATTCTACAGTTTAAATCTGTGTTTAAAATAAAATATTTTCCTGTATGAAAAAGCTTTCTCCTTTTTTTTTTTATTTTTTTGGTATGTTTTATTTTTTTTTTTACTCTCTCCTTTTCATTACATTTCCCATCACCCCAAAAAGCAACAACAGGGTATTCAGAAAAGCTGCTGCATATGGAGAACCAACAAATCTTTCTGAAGAGCCTTTTCAGCTACCGTCTTTGATTGCCTCTACCAGGATTCAGCTTTCTTAAAAGCTCCTTCTGAGGCTTGGAAAAAATAGCATGTACTAAAAATCCACAAAACACCACTTTAGGCAGTGAAGTGCTTCTTAACAGAGCTATTCACAATCCTTTCTACAGCGGAGAATGCAGTGTGCCCAATCTATCACTAATCTTCACAGACACACACTGGAAGTTCATAAGAAGGGTGAAGTCAGCACCACACCCCTCACTGAGCAGATAATCCTCATTATGCACGACATGACCTGACTGAAAAGACCATTACCAAAATCCTTCCATATGCTCCATCTAGAATTTATAGATGATTTACACATAATTATTTCAGTATTTAATAATCTCTACTGTGAAATACCAGCAGCTGTGTTTCATCAGGCTCAAAAAACATCTAAAATGTAATTTGCATGAAAGGATCAGTGAAGAATGACATGGTTAATACCAGAATATTTTGTTTGTAAAGGGCAACCAACACACAATTACTCCATTTGCACACTTAACTATTTTACATTCCAARCCAAACCCTGTCTAATTTCTTTGTGATTTCAGATAAACTTTTATTTTATAAAGACAGATATGCAAATCCTAAATCTGATATCAGTTTATTTAACAAACATAATTTTATCAACAGATTTTTCTCTTTATCTTACCCCTGGTTTAAAATGCTAAACTCTTCATACATTACAAATCAAGAGTTTCTTCGGCTGCTTAGATAGTCTTCAAGAAAAACAATTTGAATACCCGAAATGTGAATATACACACATTGTTCAGCCCTCCCCACTTTGCCCCACTTTTCCCCTTAAAAAAGAAGTTTACCAGWGCACAGAGCAAGTCTACTGCTTCCAAGATAAGCTCCTGATGGCCAATTCGTGTGACTCCTAGATCTTCCAGTTCCTGATGAGTAATCCGTAGTAGCTGGTCACCACTGATCTTCTCCCTCTCAAAGTTCTTTATATATTGCTGCAGGCAATCATCAAGACCTGCAACAAAAGGACAGAAGAAGTGGAGACAAGTTAGCAACATTTTGTACTGCCATAGGAAGCAAAACTGGCCAAAAATTAAGCCAATGCTGAGTGCATTAATTTTTTTTTTTTTTGTCTTATCTTTAAGAGAAATATATTAGCATTTAAAACTTTATGTTACYGAGAAACCTTAAGATTTGGAGAGCTGTGGCAGTCTGTGGTTTTTTTCACCTGTGGACAATATCAACTGCTCCTCAACCCCAAACAAAGCCTTGAATTCTTGTAGTTTAGTGTGCATGAATGTCAATCTGGCAGCCCCTAATAAAGAGGTACTTTAGGGAAGCCTCCATCATGTCTGGAAGGGGAAAGGAAAAGAGGGAACAGTGGAACATGAAGTCAAACACAAAGCRGCAGTGCCACACCACAGCATCTCTCCTAATCCAAGATCACTCACATATTGCTGAGTCACCTGGAAGTTCACAGGTCATGCCAACCCCTAAAACAAGCTGCAAAGAGCTCGAGAGAACCAGGCAAAAATACAAAAAACGGGTCCCAACTGTAGCAGCAGATCCAGCTCAATGTATCACAAACAGAAGCTGCAAGGAGTCAGCACACAAATGCTTTCTGAGCATGAAAAGCCACTCAAATCAAGACCTGGGTGCACTTCTCAGAACAGAGTAATTGGGGAGCAGAAACAGGCCAATCATGCCAAAAAAATACAGGTCATGGAGCACATTTGCTCAGGACATGGCTGATGCAAGGCTGGACAGGAGCAGGTCCTGCTTTGGGGGGCACCTTTTCCGTTTGATGATAAGTCAATGAATTGCCCTGCAGAATGTGATCAAATCCATCATGMATTTCTTGCCCATGAATCTTTGCCTAAGAGAGGTCAATAGAGGGAAGCTCTGCAGAATGTGTACTCATGTACCAGGGGATAAGTAAGACTCTTGGCTATTTGGTGGTCCATTCAACATTTGTATCTGAATACCTTCCAGTGGATCAACATGACTGCCACTGAGCAACAGGACTCAACAAAAATCAGCATTAATTTTGGTGATTATTGAAAGATGCAACCTTTCTGATAGGTGTCTTCAAACAATCCCTAATAGTGAAAAGATATTTGCTGATTAGGCTGAAAGGAAGCAAGAACATTCTTACTTGCTAATCAAAATGTCTGAAAAATCTGAAGATATGTGGAAGAGAAAAGATTGAGCTGACTGCTGAGCCCCAGTTATCTTGTAAGAGCCCCGATAYAGAACATAAAGGTTCTCAGAAACTGGTTTTGTTGCATTTTTGKTTCTCATTCGTGCTTTTTAGGGTGTGGCAACTCCTCAAAAGAGATTTACACGAGGAACATGTTGGTGTTGTAGGCAGGGATGCCCTGTACCAGGCCAGCCTGTCATTCCTGCCTCAATTCTTGGGCAAGAGTCACCCACATTTGCTACACCAGCACAATATTCACAGGGCTTTAACCTCKGGGAATTCACTCACTGAAAATAAACCACAGACAAACATCCTATRAAACAAATATTCCAGTGTCAAGATACAGAAGAAGGGCCCCAGTTCCAGCAGACTTCAACTATGTCCTTCCAGAACCTGCTGCCTGATTTTCTGCTTCCAAAACAAAGCCACCTAAAGGTTTAGGTTAATTAAGCACTTGAAGTGATGCCTTCATTTAATTGCCCTTTCTAATCAAGTAGTTGCTCAAGTCGTTCTTCAGCAAAGAAATCTTAAAAGGGCAGGAGAGGCCCTCTCCATAAGCAGCTGCCCAGATGAGCTCAGCCAAGTCAGACCACGATGCAAACACACACCAAAAACTGGGGAGTTGAACGCTGTGCAGACCATTTTATAAAGAGCTGGACTCGATTATCCTTGTGTACCCCTTACAACTCAGAGTATTCTGTGGTTCTGTGATAGGGTGAAAATTGAGCTGCTGGGGAAGACCTGGCTGAACAGAGAGCTTTGACTAGAACTCAGGAAAATTGAGCTGTTGGGGAAGAGCCTGGCTGAACAGAGAGCTTTGACTAGAACTCAGGAAAAAAAAAAAAGAGTTTATGATCATTTGCAGAGCAAGCAGGAAACTCAGGAGGATTATAGAGATGGCAGGAGGTGACGCAGGGAGAAAATCAGAAAGGCCAAAGCCCAGCTAGTACTTCATTTAGCCACTCCCATAAAAGAAAAACGTTTCTATAAACACATTAGCAACCAAAGGAGAGCCACAGAGAATCTTCAGCCTTTACTGGATCTGGGGGGAAACACAGTGGCAAAGGATGAAGAAAAGACTAAGGCACTTAATGTCTTCTTTGCCTCAGCCTTACACAACAAGACCAGTTGTTCTCCAGGGAGCCAGCCCCCTGAGCTACAAGACAGGGATGGGGAGCAGAATGAAACATCCATAATCCAAGGGGAAATGGTCAGTGACCTATTACACTGCTTAGACACACACAAGTGTGTGTAGCTGGATGGGATCCACCCAAGGGTACTGAGAGAGCTGGTGGAAGTGCTCACTGAGCTRCCTTCCATCATTTACCAGCAGTCCTGCCTAACTGGAGAGGTCCCACTTGACTGGAGGTCAGTAGATGTGATGTCCATCTACAAGAAGTACTGCAARGAGGGTCTGGATAACCACAGGCCTGTCAGTCTGAACTCAGGAAAGGTCATGGAGCAGCTCTTCTTGAATGCAATCACACAGCACAGACAGGACAGCTGGGGCATGAGGCACAGCCAGCATGGATTTRGAAAAGGCAGGTTCTGCTTGACCAATTTGAGCTTCTTCTATGACAGAGTGAGCTCCCTCAGCAAATGAGGGAAAAGCTGTGGTATTGTCTACATAGACTTCAGTAAAAC